ATGCAGCGTTTGCTTTTACTTCCTCTTGCCATTCTATGATCGTTGCACGCTGCACAATATTCGGTTTTCATTAGTTTAATTACTTTAAGCGTATAAATAAGCAAACAAAACACCCTCATCTTGAACATGGAACGCCTAGAAGATCATTGGCCAAGCACTGCGCAAACGGCTCGTCTGCTGCTAGATCCACGTATGTTCTCCTCTTCTACCTTTTCGCTTTTATTTCCCGTTGTCTCCGGCGTTTTTCAACACAAGGGCCCTGCAAAGCGCGCGCTTCGATTTCTTCAATTTGAAGCGCGATCTCCAGCTTAATTCGTCGTTTAGCGGAAAATTTTCGCGGGGCGCTCATGGGAGGAAAGCATTAGGTCCTCGTCCAGTCGCGAGCGCGTACGTGCTCGCCTCGTCGAAGGCCTAATGTCTTTTCGAGGTCCATCGCGGACGTGCTCAGTGCCCTTTTTGATGAGTATTTACTGGGACGGCCAAGATTCGCCGGCGGAAACCGCGAGGGAGAGTCCCTTCTCGTTTTCTGTCGTGTCGTATCTCAGGACGGCCTCCAGGTCTTCCCGAAGTTCTTCCGTCGATGTCTCGACTTCGAGGCTATTCAGGGAACCGTTTCTCGCCTAGTTTTGTGTTTTGGGCTTTTCTTTCATGTCTAGTTTTTACTAGCTCATTTAGCGAGATTCGTTCGTGTGGGGTTTTGTTGTAAAGGTACCTTTCATGGGCCCTTTGCGAATCTGCCAGGACGCGTCGCTTCCTTCCTCAAAGGTTTGCCTGCGATAGCGAGATGTTCGCTCCCCAAACATCACAGAGTGACTCATCAGACTATGAAGAGTGTCAAAACACGTTTAGACGTGGTATCGGGCTTATATACATCCGTTTGCCAGAAATCGGTGAACGGCTCCTTTTCGGGTGGTGTCTGTCGTTTAGGTTTCCGGTCTATACAAACACAACACTAGCAGTAGCCGGCTATGTCCAAGGTATAACTTAGTCTATGCACATAACGACTACATTTGAAAGGTTCAAGACGATTGTATTGCTGAAGCATATTTTTGGGTCGTATCTTTGTTTTACTTCATGGCCTGCCAGCTGTTTGCGTCCAAAATATTGAATTAATTGATCGTTCGATAGATTTATTGATTGGTTTTTATTGAATGATTAATTGGTTGATTAGTAGATTTACTGATTGATCGATCGGGTTATTAATTGATGTGTTGATTGATTGATTGTTTGTTTGATTGACTGATTGATTTATTGATTTTCACACCCCGTGCACTATGTTCTCATGTCTCGTTTAAAGCATGCTGTGTCTTTTCGTCACTAAACTAGCTTAGTGGCAAGTCAGTTTTCTTTAGTCAAGGAATACCTTAGGTTTCGTAGCACACGTGCCTTTTAAACATTAACCTATTTTAAACTTTTGTCCACACTGATATATTTTTATATGCATGGTACCTTGGCATAACGACGACACGAAGCTATTTTTCTACGTAATCTTTGCTTTCTTTGGTCTTTTTTATTGACAATACGTATGTTAGGCGTCTAACCTGTTCGCTAATACTCCGCAGAACTAAGATACATTAAAATACGAACCCTTGACATCCCTTCATATTGTGATGCGTGTTCTAATTCCCGACAGGTAACACAATCCAGCAGACCGAGTGGACAATGCTGCTGTGCCTGAGCTTCAGCGATGGAGACAGCGGCGTTTGCACGGACACGGCAGAGCTGACCAGATATCAAGCGGTGCGTACAGTGTCGCTACAAGCGAGCCTGCAACTCAAAACTATTTCTGCCAAGCTGGTGGAAATATTTTGACGTATAACTACGTCTTTTTCCACGCTTAGAAGGGGGTGCAAAGTTGGGAGATCGATGTCACGAAAGTTTGGTCACGGAAGTGACGTCACACAGATAAATCCGGAGCACAGACCGATTTAGAGTGCCTTCATACACACGCGCGCTTTTGCTTGAGTGGTGACATCTCAGCCATTTTTCCGCCCAATCGTTTTTTTTATGCATTTTGAAGTGCGCGCAATCTGGTGTCGTTCACCTCGAGCGCGTAGCTTTGGTTAATGCATAGACGCCATTTTACCGCCCAAGTCACGCACCGAGTGCGCGAGAGCGTAACGCGCTGGCGCATTCAGTGCAACAATGGATGTCTTCACCCTGAGACAGACAGACATGTAGGCACCCTAGACCGATTTGCATCGCCGCGCTCCCTGACGGCGCGCCGTGCCTGCTGCCGAGAACCGCGCAGTGCGCACGCGCGTCCTTTTAATGCGATAGCATTCTTTAGTTACCCCCCGGATTTCTTGGACTCTGGCCTCCTAATGCGCAGTTGGTATGCGCAGTATACCATTTCAGCTCACATTCGCACACTCCTTCACATTCGCGCTCTCTTCGAAGGACATGACGGTCCTTGACGTAGTCCTTGAGGTCGTCGTAGAGACCGTCCTACACGTCGCTTTTTGCGTCGTCCTCTAGGACGCCGTCCTAGAGGTCGTCCTTGACGTCGCTTTTGACGTCGTCCTCTAGGACGTTTCCTTGATGTCGTCCTAGAGGTCGTCCTAGACATCATGTTTGACGTCGTCCTTTAGGTCATCGTGTTTGACGTCCAGGATGACGTCCTCTAGGACGTCATCCTCGACGTTGTCCTTGAGGTCGCCCGAGACGCCGCCTTTACGGTCGCCCTAGAGGTCGTTCTAGGTGTCGTCCTAGACGTTGTCCGTGGGGTTGGTTTTGAGATCGCCCTACAGGTCGTCCTGGACGTTGTCTTTGATGCCGACCTCTAGGACGTCGTCCTTGAGGTTTTCGTAGACAAACGCTATCGCAATTCATAGACAACCAAAAATAGTGGTTTTTGCAGCAATTTCTTATCTGCTGGCTCGCTCATTTGCTCGCTTCAACGCGACGCGCTACTGTCTGATTAAATCGGCGATAGACGCCTCTCCGGTAATCGTGATTCTACAATTTTCGCTCATCGCCCTGGACAGCGGTCGAGCGGCCCAGCTCGCGTCCTCTGCGGCAAGGGAAGTTCACGCGACTCTCAAGCGTGACTCGAGCGCGATTCTTTGTGCCACCCACACGTAGTTCTCCGGAAATTTATGCAGCACAGTACACCTATGCACCGACCATTTTTTTTTTCTTTTTTCACAGACTGGATAGTTACAATCTTCACGGTCTTTGAATAAATAAATAAATAAGTCGATTAGATGACTTGTTTTTTGGTGGAGGAATTTGTGTTTTTAATATTTTTAACCGAAAGGCGGTGACCCTTTGCGCGTATTACTTGCATGCAGGCAGTCCAGGAGTACGTAATACTTGCATATATTGAAACATAAAATGAGAGAAAAGGAACACTAACATCCTTTTTGAGGAAGATACTTTTAGGCAATAGCGCGTGCTTCTTTATAACGTTTCTTGGCCACACGAACTGGAACGGTGTCCCACAAGAACACACAGGTAAAAGTTCGTAAGGCGAAGCAGCTAGACAGTAAGCAACTTAGCAAGCTGCAAGTCCTGTCATTTAATCCGAAGTTTATTTAATACAGTGGGAACTTTTTTTCATATATTTGAGACCGGCAACTATTAAGTAAGAAGTGGATTGTCTATGACATCTAGAATTGTGTCTTTTTTTTTTTTTGTTATCAACAGTTCCAAAACCTTCAAACCGAAGGCTGTAATGAAATCGGAGAATAAGCTCGCGGTCCTCTCCGCGCGTGCCTTTTGGCATGTACTGCCCGTGAAATTCGGGTATTGTACTTCTTCTCGTCTTATAGCATGGAATATTGTTAGCCGCGTATGCTGAAAGCGCGAGCTAGTTGCTTTGGATGAAGCCTCGGCGGCTGCAGGAGCGCTCGTGCAGCGAGAGCTCGTGTAGCAGTCAAGGATACCCGATCGCGTCTGCACAGCCTTCGTAGTTAGTCCGTGCTAATATGAGACGAAGTATAGTTTAGGAACGTTAGAGACGAAACCAATACACAAAACTCTCGTTTGCGAGCTCTTCACATATGAAATTAAGTTGTTGACTCCAGGTATTACCAGTTACACAAAATTACTTTCCAAACTTTAGAATTCATACTAAGAAAGGTTGCTTTTATTAAGCCAGGCCTGAATATAAAAACGAGAGGGTATATTCAAGAAATGTCGAGCTATAAACTTCCCTCTGTGTATTTGAACTCGTGATCTCGTTTTGCATAAGATGCAGCTTACGCACAGAGCAGTCAAAACTTTATGCCGCCACAACGTGTCAGATACTGGGTATTTCCGGCGTTTCAGCAATTGCTTAGTTAGCGGAGTCTCTTGATTAAAACCGCCCTTATTTCCATTGGCTGCGCAAAAGACGTCACCGTTGGTCGTCACCTTAGCCAAGAAATGATCACATATTCATTTGCACGTTATTTCAAAATTATTTCGTGTATGTGCGTCTGACAGGTTGCGTATGTTTCTTTACCCACTCTTCAGTAATGAACTAATTAAAAAAGCGGGTTGCAGAGTAACCATTTTTCTTTATGCGGCCGTTAAAGGTTCTCAACAGTGCTTCCCTGCGCGGGGCGTAATAGAATCACAAGCACTCACTCAAGAAATGGTTACTTTTCGTTATTTTTTAATGTCTACGTGATCCGAAGTTGAATAGGACAAGCAGAGCCAATTTTGATACTTAGTTTTAGACGCAGAAACGGTCATTCCAGTATGTAAGACTGAACCTAGTCACTATAGAGCACATTGTCTATGATTCGAAGCTATTTGATTGATCCGCCATATTACTTTCCTACCATCGTGTTAGAGTTTTAGCACACTGCGAGTTGAAATAGGTAAGTTTCTAAAACGTTTCGACAGATATATTATAAATAGTTTTGCGAGGCTCTTCGAGCACTTATATATTTTTCCTAGGCTTCCCAAACCAAACAGATGGTAAACGAGCTAACGTTTCTGTCCTATTTCAGGTGAACAGAATACCCGGCCTCAGAAACGTCCTGCTCAGAAAAGATGCCTTCTGCAACACCATGAACGACGCCAGAAAAATTCCAGGTCAGTGATGGTCGACTACCACGTAACACCCCAGTGTTCCAAATCTTGTAAAACATGGCAAAAAAAAATTTGTCAAGCACATGGTTTAACAAAGCATCATCTAATAATGCGACAAAACAAAAAGAAAAAGCTTAATTTTTTTTAATAGTCGCCGAAGGGTTTAAGAAACTTAAGGCATTATTTTTACGCATCTTGGTTCCTGATTGGTTGTTCGGCGTTTTGGGCGCCTAATATCGGAATCTGATTGGCTGGTCATGTCGCCATACCCTGCCTTTCTTAAGATGTCATGGTCTATAATATGGTCGTTCTTACACTCTAAAAAAAAGTTTGTCCGTCTACTTTCACGCACAACCATCGGACAACCAATCACCGCAACTTACGTAGGCAGCTCAGCGAATGACAATGCCGAAACATATGTTTCGACCAAAAAACGCAGTCTGAGTTGTGACATTAAGCAAATCGAAACGTCACGCTTGCATTGCTTAATGTCACAACTCAGACTGCGTTTTTTGGTCTAAACATATGTTTCGGCATTGTCATTCACTGAGCTGCCTACGTAAGCTGCGGTGAATGGCTCTCCGAGTGTTGTGCGGGAAAGCAGACGCACGGGCTTTTTTTAGAGTGTATTTCGTCAGCAGTCGCTTCACGAACCGTCGTTATCGACACCCGGACAGAACGAGGTGCAACGCGGGACACGCTGGCTTTATGAATCGTATGCCAGAATTGTTATCGCGTGCCTTCTTGGCGTGTCCGACCTGCATGCCGCCGCCTTTTCTTACGCCCCCCGCCGTCTGTTTAAGTGCTCTCGCATCGATGCGATCCCCTCTTTCCCGCCGGGTCGATTTGTTTTCCGAGGCACAAACTGCCGACTCGGGGCTCGGCGAGGGGGGTTCTGAGGAAAGTGTCTTCGACGATGACAATTATCTATATGCGTCCTGACGGGCACTTGTAGCAAGATTCTCTTGTCACGCAAAGACCTCGAGTGAGCTGCTCTTCTTTCACTTTTTTTTCTTTTATAATTTTTTCTCGATAATTCGATCGTCTCTTCAGGTACGGTGGGTTGTTTCTGCCCATGGAAGAGGGTGACTTGATTTACCAATAACGGTAAAAAGCGGCTCCTGTAAACATCTTCGATAAGCTAATGCATCGGAGGCTTAAAGGCTGCGTAGACGGCGATGTGTCTTTCTTGTGTGTTGTAGGGGCTATTCGTAGTATATATTAGGATTGTTCATTGCGAGCGCTCCGCGCATCTCGCGCGAAGTGTAGTTCCAAAAATGATACTGCGGTCATTTCGTGTGATTGCCGAATACTCCACAGTTTGCGCGCAATTACCGTATTTGCTCGAGTAATAGCCGCACTGTTTATGAAAAAAGCTTGTGGGTCTGCTTTCTCGCAGAGCACTGGGATAGCGAATCACCGCGATCGGGAGAAAAATGGCGGCGACGTACGGGACAGAGATAACGCCTTCGAAAATGCTGTCTGCTCAGATCGCATTTTTACGGAGAGTCGTGTTCTCGTCATCGTTATTCGATGCGTTTTTTTATGCGGAACGCGATGATTGACTGTATGTGTGCTCTGCAGGAAAGTAGACGCAAGGGCAGTGTTCATAACAACTTCGTTCATGATTAGGGTTAATACGCTACTGGTGTTTATAGGTTTGTAATAAGCGTGCTGGCTGCCTGTCTGGGTTCGGTTTTCTTTCAATCCTTGTTTGTGAAGGTTTCTCTCGACATCTTCGTTTCTTAGCATAGCCCAGAGTTTTCTCGATAATTGTTTACACCATAATGTTTCCTGTAATTTAAATATAAAAAATAAAAGAACTAATATATATATATTTTTTTCATGTCACATTTTGGACACGAACTTTCACTCTTCCTCTCTCTTCTTCATTCTTCTCTCTCTCTTCTTCATTCTTTTTTTATCATGTGTTCTCCATCCTCGTACCGATCTTCGCTAGTTAATTATGAGAACGCGAAGCGTGCCATAACCATCCGTTCTCGTATGTAAGGTGTCTGAGGCGTCGCTTTGCCCCCGCTTTCTCGGGCCGTGCCGACCGCAGCGGTGATGCGTCAGTCCCTGGTGCCGCTGTGCTTCGTGCTGCCGGCCCAGTACCAGCAGTTCCTGAACGTGGCCGACGCCCTGGGCTTCTCCGCCCAGTGGCTGCTCACGCCCCTGGCGCCGGGGGGCAAGGACGGGGGCCCCGAGGCCGTCGACATGTTCAGTCCCCTGGGAAGGGCCCGCATACAGCAGTGAGTGCTCCGTCCTTATACCGCTCTTCCTCCGAGCCCCTTCCGCGACACCCATGGGCGACGTGAAGACTCGCGAGCCTCCTCTCGGCGGCATTCAATTCCCTCTGACGATGCCTACGACAACCGATAGCGACATCGCGTAATTGCGATGTAGGTTGCGATAACAAGATCCCCACACTCGAAAGTCGCGGTAACACTGATCCATACATCGCGCGAAAGGCTGCAGTCACGATAACAAAATTATCTGGGGATCTACCTCGAGTAGGTTCGATGAACGTTGGCTTCATATGTGTCTATGCTTCGAAAATGTTTGAATACATAGTTTCTATGACCAATGTCACCAGACCGCCGTATACGAAAAAGAGACAGGCCTCGGACATCGTCTGTTAGACTGTTACTACGTGTTTCTTGGCCTAGATAAGATCGAAGTCATACAAATAAGAGTAATTTGGTTTATTCTAAAAAAAAATTACTCACTTGAGCGAAGGAAGTGTCACACAAATTAAAGTTTGTATCTAAATGAAATCTCTTGATACCAGACGGAGAAAGAGCAGGCTGAAACTTATTTATGCTATTTATAACAATCTAACCTGACTTAATAAATCTGTATATCTGAAAACGCCCCATTGCATAGGCGGGGTTTTCGCGGTGATAGAAGCGATCACCGCGAAAAAATTCGCGAAATAAGGTACCGGACAAACTACACGAAGTTTTCTTTTTCCCTAAAAAGTATATCCGAATAGAACGACCTCCCTGCAGATATGGTGTCAGAACTTGGAAGTGAATCATTTTTTTTTTAATTATAGATGATATGTGAATATTTGATCTTTAATGTCTGTTGTGTTGGCGTGTTTCCACTTGTGACGACGCATGCTGACGTAAGGATGATTTTCATTTATGCTACTGAAGCATACTGTGCTGAAGTGTATTTACCTGTGCTGATGTACTGATATGTGACTGACGGTATTGATCAATAGTAAAACTCACTCCCCCGTTCCAATGCTTCGGCGCTTAATTTGTAAATAAATATATAATAAATAAATAAAAAATTACCAACATTCGCGTTTAGAATCGATGCCTGGCATCTTGGATATTTTAGTTTTGGGTCAGGAACTACGTTGATAGACTAAATTTTGGTGGTGAAGACGGAGAACCGCATTTTTTTTTTCCCTTCGCCGCTAAATTTGTATTGGCGGAGAAGTGGTCAAATGGGCAGAAGCTGTAAAAACGTACTGTTGTAAAGTGGCCTTGCTTATGTACAAAGATTTGGTCTGAACATATTTTAAATGAACAGCCCTTAAACGGCCTACATTTGTTTCTGCCATTTTCTCTTCAGTAAAGCTGTAAACCAGTTCCTTAAAATAAATGGTAATATATGGCATATTCGTGATTAAAGAACTGAAAGTCTGTCTGTTTGAAATACTGTCTCTAGTCTCTGTTGCGAAACGGTAAGTTTGTCCGTGCAGTTTTAGTTGCCTCCTTAAGTTTTCAACAGTTTCATTACCCTTCATGCTGATACTTCACAACAAAGTTTAGAAACTGGTCACGCACCACAATCTGGATAAATAAAACGGAATACATCGCGTGCATCGCTTCATCTTCTTTGCGCGTGTCGATATATTTCTGTTGCAACACGGAAGTCTTTTGCGTGTTAAGTCTAATGCAAAAAAAAAAAAAAATGTGCAGCGGAAGTGTTTTTCTTGCAACGTTCATTCAGTGTAATGCTCGAAAGTTCCCGATAACTTTACAGCGCGTTCGTTAAAGCAAGAGGCGTGCTTCTCGGAATCAATCCTCGAAAGATATTTCTGCCAGACGAATTGACGTTCCTCGGTTGGAAGCACGTTTAGAGACTGAATGAACGACTCTAACTCCTGGGCAGATGTACACGATTCGGTGGTGAAAGGCGACTTCTCTTGCGATGTTATTTGTTGGAAAGGGCAGCGTGAGCCCTGCCGCCCGGATGAGTGGGGCTTCGGCAATAATACGGAGAGGTGTCACGAGGGCTTCCCTTTGAAGCGTCTTATTGAACGTTGTGTTTCTATAGCGGCATGATCGTACGCCTCATTTGTTTTTTTGTGTGTGTGTGTGTGACTTAGCTCAGCTTTTATTCCTCACTTTACGCAATTTAGGGTTGTTTACTAGGCAGGATGTTTCGCTGATCGTTGGCCACGCTTTTCGCGGAAAAAATACGCACTGCTCAAAAATAAGATTGGTACGGATTAGCTACAATCAGGAGTCTTTTTTTTTTTTTGTATATGTCGTTTGGAATTTTTTAGTGTTTAATTATTTCGCGTAATTAACGTTCTAGCTGTCGAAATAAACAGATACTCTCAACTTTCGAAAGGCGTCATGGAAAACAACCAAGTACATCAATAGTGAGTTTTAGTATTGCGTATACGAGCGGCGCTCGTACACACAAACGCAAACACAAGCAGTGTGCGTTTGCGTTTGCGGTGTTCCACAGTGCGCGTGCGTGGAGCCCAAAACTGTGTGTTGAATTGGCGCGTGACCAGAACGCGCATGCGCAGCGTGGAACACGCAACGCTAACGCAAACGCACAACGTTTTCGTTTTCTCCTCTATGCAAGACTAGAACTCTTCATTTTAGAAAGAATTAAAACGCGTGCTGTTTTTGTTGTTGTTATTTTTGTTTCTAGAATCGTTTTAAAAGTGCTTCCAAAACCCTTAATCCCACGCATGGTTGGTTTTTTTTTTTTTTTTTTTTTTTTGAAAGCATCAATTGTTTTGTAACGAAACATCATGCTCCTTTCTGTAGAGAAGTGCGTCTGCTTCTTTTGCGGTGGGGAGTCGCGGTGACGTCAGAATGCCGAGATCTGATTGGCTGTGAATGAGGGATAGTGGGTAGGCCTTAAGGCAGCTTGCTTTGAGGTTTGCCCACTATCCTTTTACCAGAGCCAATCAAAGCTCTGCGTTCAGACGTCACCACAACCCCCGTGAAACAAGCAGACGAATTTGCGCTCTGCATAAAGTTGTCCCCCCGCCCGTCGGTTCCTTCGTCCGTATACTCCATGACTGGGCATATCAGCACACCGGTTTGGTTACCATGGCAACATGACCAAAACAACGTACACACACGCACTTATTTCATATCAAACAGTATATACTCATTCCCCACTAGGAATCGAACCGAAAACATTTCGGTCCGCAGTCCGATGCTTTAGCTCCGCGCAACTCTGGACGGCTTTCTATTCGCACCGTGCCTAAGCAGTATGCGTCTCCTACTGCGATCGACCATATGTCGATACGCCACAGAGTGCATGGCGATGTTGTGGAGGAGCATGATGGCAATTACTAAACAACACGTTCTTCTTCTCTCCCCAAAACGAGTATTTATTATTCATTAAAATAATGGATTCCGTGCACCGTAGGACTTTAGAAATAAAGGTCGCCTCCAATTCGTTATGGTTCGCATTTTTGCACGGCCAGCCTTGCGCCCACAGCCCCACGCGGTAACTTTTCCGCAACATCCTGGGTAATCTGTAGACTGGTTCCAACGCTTGATCGGAGAAGCTAAATTCCGGTTCTAAGCCTACTTAACCTGCTTACGACCACTGCAGAGACAATCGTAGGCAGTCATAAGAAGATTAGAAACCGGTTTGTAGCCCCTTTGGTCGTAAGTAGCCGTAATTAAGTGTGCTAACCATGCAGACTTGAGTCGTTTTGAAACTTACTGATTTAGTGGTTTTTAATGTAACTCCGCAAGTTTGTATTTAGAACCATTCATTTATTTTTGATCACGAAAACCTCAAGCGTGCAGAACTGGTTCAAAACGTAACTGTCCTAACCCTCCGTGTACCTCACTACATCGAATCTCGGCGATGACTGATAGGCGCCCATCGTTTTTTGTGCGATGCGTGGTTTTTGCAGAAAACTTTTTGGCTGGTGTTCGGTGCAACACTAATTGGATGAACTGAATGTAAGGGCGCAAAAGAGCTGGGAGATGTTTAGCATGACGAAAAACCCCGACACTGCAGGCAAAAACGACACGTACACAGAAAAGGTCTCAAACACAGCTAAAAAAATTTATTTTCCAAAAAGGGCTCGAATAGGCACCGAGACCACGCAAAGCAGGAAGAGAGAAATCCGATAGCTCTCTTTCCACAACTGAACCCTGAGAGATCATCGTAGAAGCAGAAAATACGTCGCTGTAAACACCTTCTTTCCTACCTTTAAAACCCTTCAAAGGCGAGCGCTACAACCTCATTCTTCACCGGAACAATTTCCTTCGCTAGCAGAAAACGAAACACAGAAAATCACGTCACCCAACCTCCCTGACCACTTCAATAAAGCACCTTCAAGGTCACCACCACTCAAACCCCAAAAGTTTAGACAAAACGAAGACTTGTTAACGACGCGTTTGACACATTTTTTTTTTTTTTTGTATGTGTCATTTTGTACCTGCGATCTCGTTTTTTTTCGTTTTTTTTTTTTTTTTTTTTTTTTTTTTTTATTACGTGTTGGAGATTTGTGTTCGTCCAGAAGTTGTGTAGCGAGTGTGTGGTGCCTTTAAAGAGCACCGCCGCGTTCTCACTGCTCGGGCTGGAGGTTTTCTCTACAAAATATGTTTCCAACCATAAAGCTTACAAGAGGAAAAAAAAACGATGTTACTTGAAATTCAATTTAACGTAACCTGTTTCATAATATGGTTTGGCGCATTCGCCGTTGAGCTATTCGCTGATCATTATGCGAAAAGCTTTCCATATGAATGTCACTTACAATTCTTGAGCACTATGAGTATCTTTGGCTCTACGTGCCATTTATTCTGTCGCACCAAAAAACTGGAAAATCATTTTTTTAAGAAAAGGTTGTTTTATAGACATAGGACAGGGAGGAAAAAGTGCAGCGATAAATCATCGCATGATTGGGGCAAGGAAATCAGATCAGGACCCTAACTTCCAACCTCTGCTGCAATCTCGTCGAGCGAGCTTTTAAGAAATCAAACGAGATCCCGACGCAGCGGAGCAATTGTAGCAAAGCTCAAAAGTGCCGCCTCTTCTTTCATCTTCCAGCTCTCCCAATTTGACGGTCTCTCCGCCCGCGTGCAACGTTCCAGATTTTGTTCCTCCAATCTTTGCCTTTTATCGTTGTCGAGCCAGGAGGATCCATCAAACACGCCGATCACGGCCGCACCATATCTGACCAGAACGTGCGTTGAATAAGCAGCCTTCTTTTTTCGAGAGGGTAAAAGTTTGCGCATTTACATTGAAGCGCGGCACCTTCTTAGGGAGACGTTACCATTGAAGCGCTTCTTTGCTTCGAAGCTGAATTGCTGAGGCATTCAATGTCGGAAAAAGACGCTAATGCACTTTAAACAAATTTATTTTGCTTCTATCTCTCTTTTTTTTAGTCTTCTTTTATAAAGGTTTCCAGAGAGTTGACACGATTACTTTATCTACCAAAGTGGGGCGCACGAAAAAAAAATAAAAGACATTCTGTGTGCGAAGTGCCAATTTAAGGTATGACAAAATGTTCGATGCATCGGAGCTCTACAATAGAATAAGTGAAAAAAACGTTGTTTTCCGCTCGTTTAAAAATAAATAACGAATTTTGTACAACACAATAATAGCCAATCGGTAACTTATCTATGATATCAGTATGGCTGTGCAGAAGGCTTAGAAACTACCTGAGGGAGAACTTCTTCCGGCAACCAATATTAATTCCGAAGATGCAACAATTGTCCAAAAATACACAAAAACATGCTCACGAACACGCCCACGCGCACAAAGACAAGTATACACGCGCACACACGCGTACGTCTCTGGTACACACATACTTAATACACACGTACGGGCACATAAGCACACGCGGACACAAACACAAACATACTTACATAAATACATATATCACACTCACTAACACCCTCCTTTTCTCTAAGCTCTGCACTTCACTACTTTGATTGAATTCTTTGTTACTTTTCTTGCATGAACATGTTTGTGAGTTTTATTATTGCAAATCTCAAATTCGCTTGTAGGAGGAGCTCAAATCTACGAAATTCTGCCACTATTTCACCCTTACCTGAAACTTATTCCTCTCCTGCAGGGGGGAATTTACTTAGTGAACTCACCCTTTCTGAACATCCCGCTGAAATATTTATAGTGAACATTTTTTTTGGTTCTATCTTCCTTTTTTTTACGTTGATTCTTGGCCACAAGCCCGAGGCTTTTATGCGCGTTCCCCGATACAAAGCTTTTAGCAGAGAAGCTCCGAGCCCCATCGAGGGTTCCAACCGGAGGCGCATAATTTCAGCGCCCCGACTCACAAGAAGACCACGTCGCTGTTGTTTAGTCCACTAGGGGTCTGCGTTACTTTAGTATGGTGCCGGGAAGGAAACACTTCGACGGACCAAAACAAGTAACGAAGTTGCGTTTACGGCCATCTTTGAAAGTGGAAGCCTTCCGAACACAAAACACAGGGCAGTTAAAATGGCAGTGTATCCGTCCATTCAAAAATATTACACGACAATTAAAATCTTATAAACTCGTGTCATTAACGCCATGTTTTCACGAGTGTTTGATGACTTCCGTTTTTGTTCTTGGTATTGTCGACCTGCAGTGAGGGGTAAAATACATAAACCGGTAGACGAAAACTTTTTGCATTTGGGGAATACCGGACGCATCTAATGGTCATACTTTGTTACTTTGAGACTGGGTCATGCTCGTGCCAAACATTTAACGGGAATAAAACGTTTTATCTGGAGGCGAAGTGAAAGGCATCTTTGTCCTGGCGCAGCTTTTTTAATGTTGTTTATTCGTCTGAACGCTCGATCAACATCCCTTCAAAGGAACGTACGGGTACCGGCTTTCATTCCCTTTAACATTTGCACACATATAAGAGCAAGAAAGCCAGTGGGGTGGTGGTAAAAAGCTATCTCAAAGCCCGAGACATTTACACAACGAAACCGACCACGGAGACAAAAACGAGGAGTATTATGCCTCCGTCGCTCGTGTTTTTTCCCCTGGTCTTTTGTGCTGAAATTTCGGGTTGCATAACGTTTGACTTCTTCAGGTGTTTTTGCGTGTTGTCGCCATTGCCCGTATGTATGCTTTAGCGTTTCAAAATATGTCGTAAACGCTGCCGAATTCGATGGGCAGAATCAACGGTGATACGTAGTGTATTGTCATATGTGAAGGCCATACCGACAAAGGGAAAGATTGACGAGTCAACACAGCCAGTAAACTTATGCAACCTTTTTCTGGAAAATTACGGGGTCCAAGTGGTTGAAGCTTGGTTGCCAGTACGTCGTAATACTTTCTGTGGAATTTTGTAAGTAGCGATGAGTGCGCGTGCAGGCGTTGATGGGAGCCCAAGGTGGGCGAACCCGCGGGAGCCTACAGCTTTGACTGCCCATGAAAACGGAGATAAGCAAGTAGAACGTACGCTGCCGACTGTGGGCCCTGCGTGATTGTGCTTGATCCGTGTTCGAAGTGATGGCAAGAGCTGCCGCTAGTAACGCAAGGCTTATGCGTATACGCGACTTACAAAAAGTCCATATTGTCAAAATGTCATCTTTGACGGCGTTAGTGGTGAGTGAGCAATGATTACGAGCTTTTATTGTACTCCTTAAACGCATAATCAAACTCGTGGTTCCCAACGGATGATAAATAGCCGGGATAACAAACCTTTCAGGCGAATCTTGTCCGTGACGCAAACGGTAGGAACCAAAGGTCGCGTCATCGAAGCATCACGCTGTTGGAGTCGAACCGGACATGAAAACATGTCTCGTCCTCGGAGCACTTGGGACAACGCGAGGACTATCTGCGACAGATATTTGAGGCACTCCAGCGAGGAGATCGCATAAAAATTACACTCTTCTGTCGCTTTAAACCGGGGTCAGACTGCTCATACCCATCGTACAAAAGACAATCTGCAAACTGGGGTCATCGCACTATCCGTGGTTCGAATGCCGCGTTCCAAGTTTTCTCCTCCAACTCATTGCCATGCGGCATTCTAAACACGAATCTCGCGGTGACTCACGTTCGAATCTGTACGCAGACTGTTTTTCGTATGATAGATAAGCAGTGTGACCCCGGCTTTCGAAGTGCTTTTCACGAGATGTGACGTAAAACGTTCTCTCCTCCACAACGCTGCGCTCCGCGCTGTTGTTCCTCGTGTACCTCCTCTTTCCGCAGTTCCTCTCCCATCACCTGCGCCGCTAAACTCAGTTAGTACGATACCCGGTTAGCGATCGCTCGGTCGCGGGTTCGATTCGCGTCGCGATGTCTTGCTTGTGCTTGTTTTAAATGTTCCCTCTGGGCTTCTACGCTACATTATGTGGCTTCAAACTTTATGTAACGCTGCAACGAAATGGTTGGACGTGTCGTACTTTTTGTCTCATCTAATTTTGTTGATAAAACACGTTCTGTCTTACAAACAAGAAGAGCAGCGAGAGAAGATTAAATGCACGTTCCCTATAGCTGCCAATGTTCCGACGCAATTCTGAACGACGCGTCCCTGCGGCGTTGTCATCCCAGGGCGTCCACGAAGCGCGCGGTGGTGCAGCAGGCGCTGCCGAGCCCCCTGCTGGTTCACGGCCAGCCCGTGAACGTCCGGGTCTTCGTGCTGGTCACGTCCCTGTCCCCGCTCAGGGCCTACGTGCACGCCGAGGGAATGGTCCGCCTGCGCAGCTACCGCCTCGTGTCCGCCGCCAGGGTGAGTGGAAAACGGCCCTCTGGTGGACTGCTAGTTCTTGTTGGTGTTGTTCGCGCACCTTAATGCTGCGCAGCGGTGGACAAAGCGACCCTTAATCAAGGGACGCCAGACTGTTGGGCGTTGTTGCCAGGCGCGCATGCTTGGAACCATACACTGCACAAAACAAGGAGCGTTTACTTTCACGCAAAGCGCTTAAAGGACCTATGAAAAAAAAAATGTTTTTTTTTTTTTTTTTACAGTTTGGTTAAGACGCGCTTGTCATAAAAACTAATTTTGCGCAATAAAAAATTTTTTACAGCAATATTGACGGCGCGAGACGCGATTTAGTCGGCAGTCACCTCCTTTCCACTTGTTTTCTCTCTCGGCATTTCGTGCGCGTGGAGGAGAGGTGGAGCGGCTTCGCCTTCACGACCAAGACGGCCATTCCGGAATGACCCGTGGCGTCATGGACTTCGCGCGCAGAATTTAAAATAAATCTCTCGCCGTCGATATTGCTCTAAATTTTTTTTTTCGCGTAAAATTTATTTTTTGACCTGCGTGTCTCAACCAGACGGTTTAAAAAAAATCATTTTTTTTTCTTTCCATGGGTTCTTTAAGAGAGCCAATCACATCAGTTTACAGAGGGAGCTCTTGACCACACTCCCCGAATGGGACACTGAATCCGGGATACCCGCTGAGACTTCTCCTGGGGCTACCAGAGTCGTATATTGGAAGGGTTTGTTCAATGGGCGGAACAAAGGCCGCCGCCAGCCCCGCAGTTAGAGCCTAAACTAAAAGTGCCACAAAGCGTCAACCGATCAGCAGACCGTAGCGTCAAATTATTTGAAACGACATCTAAATCGTGAAATAAAAGCGTTCGATCTGGGCGCCTCGGTGACAATGGCGTCAATAGAAAATCAGCAGCAATTATTGCAACCGCGCAGTCTGCTCTGGTTTGGAGCGCGCATTCGTTTATTTTACCGTTGAATATGGACGAAACAAAAACCCCACAAACACCAAGTTTTCAGTCACCAAGAGTTATAGCATTTTACTCTAGAGACGCTAAAACGGCTTACATTAGTCGAGTCGCATTTTAGAGCTCACGACCACCGCTAGGGGCTGTTTCGAGCCCTGTGCTTGGCCACGAGATGCTCACCTATTCAAAGCAATGACTGGCCAAAATCTCTCAGTACACGGCTCTGGGGGCTGCGAAGAATTGGGACATCTTAAAACCCTGGCAGCCTGATCTATCATCACCTCCTGCTTGTCCCCAAGTTCCAAACCAAGCCAACCTCTACCCCATGACCGCTGACCCACACCCATAGAAAATGACGTCGGTTCTAATGTTCCCTAAACAAAATAAAGAAATAAAACATTTTCAATCAATGAATTAATCGGCGAGGGGCGAGGCTGGTACGTGTTGAGACCTAAAACAGAAGAGTCCGCGCTGTGGCATTGAACATGCGGAAACGTCATTCTCATTGCCACAGTGCAAGCTTTGGGACTAAACATATTTCAGCCTTATACTTCACCAACCCCTCCCTCTCCCTCCGTGCACGCCGTCGCCCAGTGCGTCATCCTCTCAACGTAGTCGTCGTTGTGTTCTTTATTTATACGCGTATAGATGTATACATAAAATGAGGTAGATAAAAAGACACACAATCAGACGGCCAGCGGCGCGCCCACCGGGCGCTGCCTTTGACGGAAATGCCAGTCTCAAAATCAAGAACCACTATCACCATCGTCTCCATCATTTACCGCCCGATAGCCGAGACCTTTCCGACGATAGATGGCTCTCGCCAAGCCCCCCAATTCAATGGGGGAAAACGTCACGGCTGCGGGACGTCCAGTTATTCGACCCAGAAAACCTGTCCTCGCCGAGGCTATTGTAGTTTCGAGGAGTGGAATGTATTCCCCCTAGTAGAGTAGTTGGCACAACTAACGCTCGCTTGCTGCTCCCGCAATGAAGTTGTTGGCGTTTCTAGAACATTTATTGATACTCCAGGATCGCTATGTAGTACCTCGTTGATTTATTTCAGTAAATAATGAACTGGCGTATCTTTGTTATGTTGCTTCAACAGCAATGACGTTTACCGGCAGTACCGCTGCGTCTCTTGCACCAGCAAAAAAAAAAAAAAAATCCTGATTCTGCAGTTTTGGGTTTGAGAAAACCTCGCTTGGGGCTTCTGTGCAACGCCATGCAAACGCAAATTTTGTCTTATGCCGGAGTCAGAACACTTAAAACCCCGAGCGGTTTTTTCTTACGTGTTCCCAGTCATATATGATAGAATTTTGTTAGCCGAGGAAGCACCGTCACGTCAAAGTTAGCAGCTTAACTTTTTTTCTTTTGTTTACGAATAACAATTGACAGTTTTTGCACAAACCACCCTGCTGACGCACCCGTATCGTTGGGTTTTTTATCGGTGCAGTGAAGTCAACTGCGCACCTATTGGTCTCTTCTCAAGTTCCACCTGCGCGTAAACATAACAAAACGTTATTTTCGTTACAAATGAACCACTACAAACATCCGCGATAATGTAAGCCCTTTAAGGTTTCATATCCAAGACTGGCAGGAACTGAGTTTTGTGCGGACTCTTTGTTCGTTAGGAAAACAAACTGCGCGGTTGTTGTTTCATGCTCGGTGAACACGCTGTTTTCTTTAATCTCCAGCGCATGTTGTTAAAGGACGAAATGAGTACGAACTCTATCTCCCAAAAAGCGACCGCAACCGCACTGACTTTTACGACAAACCAATCACACTGTCTACGCAATTGTAGTCGCTTTTCTTAAATTTTATTTGCGTGGTAGGTGACAGCACAATTGTGGCCGGTTAGTGTTTCTTTCGAGTGTAACATTTGCGCCTGATACTTCCTAAATGACGCGATTTTCAAAGCGTGCTTGCACGCCAGCCGGATATGTTGTCCACAGTGTATACGGAGCAGACGACGCGCCGGGCTGAGAGGACAGAGGGCATTTCGTTTCGGTCGAATGGTCTCTCCATAAAGTCGGTGACAGATCAAGAACGAAGTGGAAGCTCCACCCACCTCCTTCCACTTTAGTAGAGCGAACGCTGGAGAGGAGGCGACCTCCTCTCCAACGTTCGCTCCGCTGAAGTGGAAAGGGGTGGGAGGAGCTTCCACCTCGTTCTTGACCTGTCACCGACTATAGTTATGGACGACATCCTAAGAAACGTGGGGCGTGGCGAGTTCCGTGGGCATCTTAGTGTCACTCCGAAACCGATAAGATTGTGTCATCAGCCGATACCGCAGAACGAATCACCAAGCAACAAGTGAAATCGTATAATAGGGGCCCCGCCTCACGTTTTTTTAAGCTTTTAATGACTATAGTTTTGACCATACACCGAAGACAACGCTTAAACGACTTCGTTTTTTGCTCCGCTTTTATGCAGAACGCGATGGTTGACTGTCTGTGTGTTCTGAGGTGAAGTAGACGCAAGGGCCTGTTCGTAATAAGTGCAACTATTACTCGAGCAAATACGGTAACAGCGCCTCCTGTCTTATTTTGACAAGCTCCGAAAACCTTTTACCGCAACTCGCTACCAGAACACTATTCCGTCGACACTAAACGAGTAAAAATAAAAAAATATATATATATAACTTATTTTTCTGCTCGCGCGACGGAGCGATCGACTTTCGCACTTAAAAGTTTTGCCGAAGAGCCCGAACTAAAATTGGAGACACACGATCTGCTTCAATTCTTTAAGTGACGCTTGTCGTGGCCCAGCCTCGCTCTAAGCTGCGCCCAAAGAAAACAGCTCCGCGCACTCAGACAGAAATATCGAGAACAGCCGAAATGTCGCCCCTTCCAGGACTACTGCGAGACGACAGAAACCAACCCACACGCGGAAAATAAAAAAGAGAAAAATATAGACTGAAAGTCTCCGAAATCTAGAGGAAAAGTAGAAACATTTCTTTATTTATATTTTTCACCCGTTCTGCGAGAAATAAACTTTATGCGTCGCACCAAAGTGCACCAGCGCTAACGTCGCCTTTCGCCATCGAACGCTTCCTATTTAAGATCCTACTTTGAGCGGACATGAAAAAAAGTGAGTGAGAAAGAAAGAGAAAGAGAGAGAGATCGGAAAAGAAAGAAAAAAGAAGATGAAGCACAAATGTGATAGTCATGTATCTCACGCGTGTTTTAGGGTGCAGCAAACCAGCGACAAAAGCGCCACGAAAGAACCCACCAATTTGTTTCCTCCCTTTTTTTTTAAGTTTTCTTTGTCGATTTGTTCGAGTCGTTTTCCGTCACCGTCTTCGTCGGGATCTGTGGCAAGCATCCCGGCAGGCGAACGCGGACGGCGTGCGAAAGAAGGGCAAGCGTTGGGAAAAAAAAGGGGACCAGGCAGAGAAAACAGTTGCGCGGATAACGCAAGACAGGCAGAGCAACAACAGGCTTCGAAAAAGCGGCCAAAAAAAACTAGGAAAGGAGCTACAGCAAAAGAGGCCCATTCGCCCAACACGATTTTGCGACTTGACAGCGCAAATAAGCTCGAACAATCGTTTTCTTCTTGTTTCGCCTCCCTCGGGTTGATTTGTTCGTTTGTTTTTGTTTGACTCGGGCCGTTGCTTAGGCGTTGAATTAGGCCTCCCCCTTTTTGCCACCTTCCCCTTTTCGCTCTCAAAATCTGACAGGATGCAATCCTATTTGCCCTCGACAAGAAGGGCACGGTCCAAGAAAAAAAACCTGACGTCTACTTGTGTGCGTGTGTGTACGTGTGTTTTTCTGTGCGTGTGTGCGTGCATGGGGTGTGTGTACGTGCGTTTGTTCACGTGTGCACGCGCGCCTGTTTGTGTGTGTGTATGTGTTTCTTTGTCGCAGGTTGCGTTGGTGCTGTTGTTAGCGCCTTGGCTTCCCCGTAATATTCCGGAGAAGAGTTTCCGGCTAGCTTTTGTTTTGCTCGGTGCGGAAACCCGTGTCCAGAAATAATCGCAACAATAACAAAAAGAACGCAAACAAAAAAAAAGAAGAGAGAAGAGAACCTGTGTGGCAAGTGGAAT